TGGAAATGAAATATTGATATATGTTTATTGATATATTAACACTGTGATCAAGTTTGGTGATTATATGCACATGATATAATTGGCCATGAAATATGTAGATATGTGGTGAAATTTGCTCATGTTGCATTCATTACATATGGCATGACATTGATATAGCAATGGTGCATTACATTGTATTTGCACGGAGGAACTATATCCATGGATATAAGTGTGGGTGTGAGTGTGCATGGTTGACATTATACACCACGTAGGTGGATGATGGGTGGGCTTAGGAAAGTTGGATCAAAGATCTGACTAAGTCACATGGTTGCATAGAAAAAGAATTAGGTCAGGGTTAGGAAGAAGAGCTAGACTATCCCTCGGGTGAGAGACTCGGTAATCGGATACGCACTCCGTTGGTATAAGAGCCCATAAAGTGTGTCAATGTACGCGGAACCGTTGGTGAAAGTCCATAAATTCCGTGTCTGTTGGGTGCCGTTGGTGTAAGTCCATAAATACCCACCCCAAGAAAAGACCCGGAGATTTCTTGAAAATAGTCATTGGGTGTGTAACGCCAATGGCGGGGACTTGGAAAACCCGATTTTATACTCATGGCATTGCATGGGAGAAAATGAGCTAGGGAAGGCTCCGGTTAAGTTGCATGAGTGGGTATCACCTCGTATCATAACATGACATGTTAGATTCCAACTTAGACTTGTAAAAAAAATATTGTTTGGAATGGTTGTTGCTTGTTTATGTGTTGCATGTGAGCATTTCATATGCGTCTAGGTTGGAGAGTAGACTTTGTAGGAAATACTCTACTGAGCGTGACTCACCTTTTATGAAAAGAATATTTCAGGTGCGGGTGGTATGTTGGCGGAAGGCTCTCAGTCGGGGCCTCAAGTATGAAGAAAGCCGGAATGTGGCTTTATTTGAGTTTTTGTACAAGTATTATGAAAACTTAGTTTTGATATGTAAATTTATGGAAATGAATGTAATAGAAAGTGTATGGACCTTGTGTTAAATAAAAATCTTCATTATACATGTGTTGGATGGATGTAATATAGGTTGGAATGAGTTGGAAATGCAAAACAGGAGAAACAAGCAAAAGTCGGCAAAACATACCGGTAGGGCATACCGGTATGACGAGGTCCAGTGGGCAACTCATACCGGTACAACTTTGTCCAAAAGGCAAACCCTACCGGTAGGAATTTTTCCAATAGGCTCACCCTACCGGTATGCCATACCGGTAGGACTTCCAAAAATTTGAAATTTTGAAACTATTTTGCTATGTTTTTGGCCCATGTGTCCTTATTTCCAAATGATGTAAATGGACCATAATAGTGTATAAAATGTGGTACATTGGACCATGATTTGATTAAATGATAAAAGTACACGGGGTTACACATGTGGGTTATAATTTCGGTTAAGGGGATGCTATTGACGAGATGTCGGGTTGTGCGACAATCACGGGTACTTCCGCCAGTTGACTGGTGGTGAACGGTTGAAAAAGGCCCCCGGTTTTAGGGGCGTCACATCTGGGATATGAACATCAACCACAAACATAATCTAATCAGCCTCCACTACCTCCGAATCATCGAAGTTCCATAGCACCAGCTGCTGATGAAGAGTTGATGGGACGCACTCACTTGAATGGATCCAATCTCAATCCAAAATAGCATAATAGGATGCTATCGTATAAATCACATTGAAATGCGTGATGTTGACATTGCTACCGATAGCCAATTCGATGGGTCAAACTCCCAATATCTTGTTAACTCCTCCTGTGAATATGCTCACCATCAAGTTAGTGTGGACCAAGTCTTCCTCTTTCCTCCCCAACTTCTTCGTTATAGTTATGGGTAGAATACTGACGGCCGCTCCATTTTCATTGAAGGGTTTTCCCTCGAAGTGCGTCCAGATATAAAGTGCCTTCAAGTGTTGCATCATAGGACTCATAGGTTTGTTAAATGGCCACAATCTTGGGCTACTGGCAAACATTAGCCTGTCCACCCTAGACTCTTGTATTGGACCTCTCACAGGAAAGCACACCACTTGGACTTCAAACAATCCTTCACTATCAAGGACCGTTTTTGGCATCACCCATGTTGCCTCGGAGTCTTCGACATCACCCTCCAAAGACTCTACTTGTAGTCCTATATTTTTAAATGATATTGGCAACATCCTAATGGCATTGACAGACACTAAATGCCCAGAGAGTCAAATTTGATGGAATCACCTCCATAACTGTCGTTTTCGTCGATAGGGTTCGCTTTTTTCTTACCCTTGCAAGTTTCTAGAGGAATGTTGAGCGCGACCCTCAAATGTTCTACCATCTTCCTCATCATTATTTCATCAATATCCTCCTCGGCTGTGGCGACCCTCAACCTTCTTTTTCCCCTTCTCTTCAGTTGTGGCCTTCTTTGGAGCCACTACATGCTGTGGAGGTAATGAAAGGCAGAATCGGGACTTAATCTCCCTCATCAAGGGTTTTATTGTTAAAACATTTCTTGCCCTTCTCGGGCATCCAATTCTTGGGATTCTTCCAACTTGTGCAGGTCCACTTGAATGTGTTGCTTCCTACGCTTTTGAGTTCTAGACAGCAGACGTGGCTGATGGTAATGTGGGAATTTTGGATGTTGAGCCACGTACTAATGGCCCTCTATCAACTCCGTTAGTTTTATCATCCTAGATTGGTCCCGATAGTGCTCAATCTGAATGGGTTGATCGAGCACAACCTTGTGGCGAACTCCTCATATCTCGTTCCTTGTCATCCTCTTAGTAGTTCTAATAAATCACTATCGTGCTCTCTATAGTTCTATCACATGAACTTGCCAAACTGATCCTCGTAATCATGCTTATGTGCCTTTGTTATGCCACCTCTTCTGCGGCCTTTGGGGACTTATTCTCTAAAACGGTCCCATAAAATGCTTTGCATCTAGGACATAAAAATGTTCTTGACCATGTCAAGTTGCTATTCAAAACCTGACAAAATATACGGCTTACCACCAGAGTCTTCTTGTGACAACTTATGCTGGGGAATGTTGTCTTTTTCCCCCTTGGCTTTTCATAGCTAGTCGACCTCTCATCATCCAAGTCTACTTTTTTCTATGGGTCTTTGACTTCCTCAACTCCACCATGCTAATGGCAGCTGTCTTCAGAGAAAGGTCTTTATCAACCCCTATCTCCAGCTTCCCTTGTCTCCGAAGATCAAATGGCCTTTGGTTAGGCCGTCCTGAATGACATTTTGAAATATCACACAATTAGTAGTAGAATCAAATATCACACAATTAATAGTAGAATGGCTACACAAATTGTATCATTTATAGTGCATCTTGTTCTTTAGCTCTGCAGCTGGTGGGACCTTATGACCAAACGATAGCTTTGATAATGTTGTAAACTAGCAAATGGTCAAAGATTTGATTAGCCATTGAGATGTGAAAATCATATTTCTTCTGTCCAACTCTTGTCATAGAATTTGCTCGTATTGCATAACTCGTGTTGCTAATTCAATCAGATCATTGCTCTATGGCCTTTGTGGAGGCAAATATGGGGGAAGCACTAGTTGTGATTCTTTCAAGGGCGCTGTCTATGCAGGGGAAACAATGCCTATCTCACATCCACTGGACAATTCCAACTATCAATTAGCTGCTTTAATGCCTGCCTTGTGCGTCCAAATTCTTCTATAATCAAATCCTGTAGGCAATTGATAAATCCTGAGATGTGCTGAGAGATTTTGCGTGACAAAGCCTTAATTAAGGCCTCCAGGTCTAAGTCGGATTCTTGATTCTCTTGCGCCCCCAAGTGGAGGCAACTCTTCTTGCAGGTTAGGGATGTCATGCATGCTTTCTTTAATAACTTCATATATTTGACGAACTTCTGACGAGCCAATTTTGGCCTTTCTATGGGTGTTCATTATATGACTGCTTGGGCTCCAACTGGGTGTGCCAAAGTCCAATTGGACTGAAGATCTAAATACATACGACCTTACCTGTTTGAACCGGTGTGAGGGAGCGAGACATAAGGTTATCTATGCGTTCTTTTCAATACCTTATGGTTCAAGGACTTTAAATAATTTCCTAACTAACAACATAATGGAATAAAATGTAAAAAAGACAACTGGAATGCAAAGCCAATAGACTAAGTTTGGAAAATGAAACAAGTATTGTACTTAGTATTAAATGAAAGTAGTAAAAGATCATTGAAGTGATGGATTATAGGAAAAGTAAAGTTATTTGGGCATAAAGATAAGTATAAGGTATGATGGTTCTGTGTAGAGTTTATTGTATTTGATTCCTTTCTCTGTAGCCTGACTTCGCCTTTGCTATTTATAGGGATAGACTTCAACCGCCTTCAATTGTCAAAACCATCTTTTCTAGCTATGACTGTAATCATGGCATTTCCCTCGAGATACGTAGTCATGCATTGAATCGTCTCCAATTGATGGCTCACGATGTCACATCTTCTCACTTTCTGAGATTCTTAGAGTTCCACTTCTCGAACCACTCTGTCAATCATAGACTATTTCATGACTGTTAGATCTCTTCTATGTGACATCTTTTAATTTTCCTATTTTTTGGGTGTAAACAAGTATAAAAGTCATTATATAAATAATTATTTTTTAATCTCTTAAATATGATGTTTATAACTTTGAATGCTTGAAAAAAAATTGAGCCTTCAAAAAAATAATTTTTTTTCTAATTAATTCAAAATATGGAAGGAGAAGTAAAAAAAAAAAACATAATTAGATAAACTTTTCTCAATGTTTGTATTCATAGACTAGTTTTTATATTGTTAATTCATATAATTATATGTCTTTATGATTGAGATTTAATGATCAAGTCACTCGAAATTTATATGCTTAAAAAATTAAATAAAAGAAAAACAATAGAGTTATATAATTTATTATTTCTATAAATCTTTATTGTTAATTACGCGTTTTAGGAATTAAAAAAATATTTTGCTTTGGGTCCTAATAACAAATATTATTGGTAAAAATAGTAATTTTTTTTTCTTTTAAGGGTTTGCAACACGAGGACTTCCCGGGGAGTCACCCATCCTAATACTACTCTCATCTAACCACGCTTAACTTTAGAGTTCTGATGTGTTGATGGGAAGGATAAAATTGGAAAAAACATACTATTAATGTAATATAGCACTTCTTCAAAATAAATTGTCAGAAATAGGACTTAATTGTTCTAAGATAAATATGATAAGACTTGATTGTACTTTTGGATGAAAGGTATAATTTTGTAAGTTCAAATTAAGCCCAAAACTTCGTACATATGACCATTTCCAATTGAGCTAAACTTCTGAGGTTGATGATGCTAATCCACTGAACATGGATGTAACATGGTCTAATCACTTGTAATTAAGTTGGAAAAGTTATAGGACAATAAGCAAGAGGTAAATTGTTGAAACCCTAGTCACAATTATATTAGAGGTCTAAAAGAAACAAAGAGGGAAGATATCTGTTCAAAGTCCTACAAAACTAATGAAATATATGTATTGTAAAAGAGACCATAATATTACAAAAAGCAAAATTCTGAATTGAATATGTATTAGCCATCTTAAGCAATTAAGAATAAGAATGAAAATAAAACGTGTAAGAAAGACCACTCAACCAAGGGATCAGAATCTAGCCGGTCACGGCCAATGTTTTCAAAGTTGAGGCCAAGTTTGACCTGATACCTTGGGAAATCCATCACTACTATTAAATACAAACAACTTACCAAACTACAAAGTCCAAATTGACCGTCCGCTTTAAACCGGATCAAGCCATACTAGACCGGTCGGCGGCTTTAAACCGAGGGCTTAGCCGAGTCGGCCGATACCAGACCACAATAATCCTTCGTGTCCAAACAATTAAAAGATGCCATTTTGATCATCCTGCCTTTGATCATCCTCGATGACGATGATGAAGTGGATTCCTCACCGGTATCCCCTCCCACCTTTGGAGACCTCACCGACGATGTCCTTGAAAAGAATGGTGGAGCCATCGAGAACGCCCATCGGTCTGAAGACCGGTCCAATATCTCTAATCTTTTGAAAGACCTACCTCTACCACTCCCCTCCCCATTTCGATAAACTTTTGTTGCACAACTCGGTGTCCGGTTCAATATTGCCCGGTCCATTACTTCCTTCCTAACCTCCACCGGTAATCTCAGAGTAAACCGGTCCGTATTCTCCCCCGGTTGAACCAAAGAATGCCCAGTTGAATGTGACCTAAACCTGCCGAACAGCCTGGGTCTTGCATACCCCGACCTCGGCGGCCGGTTCTGATTCATACTCAGAGTCCGCTTCATTGGTCCCGACTTTTCTTGCTCACGGCTCAGGCTAGTTGATACGTTGCCGTTGGCCATGACGTCTGCCTCATCAGTTGCTTGATTTTCTATATCAATTTCAGTTTGTGATTGAGGCGGGAGGTGTATGGACTCACCGGGTTGTGCTACAAGGTCTGCACGGCAGACCGGACAGGTTATGTGAGCGGTGAGCCAGGCGTCGATGCATTCTGGGTGGAACACGTGATCGCATTTCGGGATCAGACGAAGTGTCTCATCGTCTTCAAATTCATTGAGACAGACCGCGCATTCCAAGGCTCCCTTCCCGATCTTCCGGTCTTTGACTTCGGTGTAGGCGAAAGTGGGAAACTTTTCGATGACTGATGGATCTAGGCCACGCGCTGCGGCGGCGCGTCGGGAGCGCATGGAGAGGACGGCGCGGACGCTGTTGCCATTGGAGGAGTTGGAGCAGTGGCGGATATAGATGGATAAGAAACCCATTAAGAAGAGGGCGGCGATGAGGACTACGATTATAATCGCCATCGAAGGGCTGAAATTGTTGTATCGGTATTGGTTGTTGATTTCTGGTGGACTGGATTGTGATCGGACGGTGGGAGAAAGGAGGAGGAGGAGGAGGAGGAGGAGAGGAATAATTGCATGGTTAGAAGTGAAGGTGAATCTGTGTAGGCCGGCATGGCTGTTGCTATTCTTGTCGTCGGTGGTCATTCTACAAAAAATTAAAAAGCTTCAAGGTTTTGATTTTAGATAAGAAACATGAATTGTGTTAACTATGTGAAAAATTGCGCCGGAAAAAGGATGGGGATGGCAGGGGAGGATGAGTTGCGGGAAGTATATGTGTGAATCTATATACAAAGTGGCAGAGGGAAGGTGAGAGGAGGGTAATGTTTTTCAAGTCAAAGACTCCGAGCTAAAGCATTCTCTCAGGTGGGGTCGAAAACTCGAAGAGAAGCTTCTGGTGGGGGTTCCTCAAGTTTCTAAGAAAGCACTCATGTTAGTTTTTTTTTTTAATTGAAATAGTGTTTTGATTAATTTATGCGTATTTTGATTAATTTTTTTTAGTTTAATTAAAGATAAATTATACATACCGGAACAAGTTTTCTCTCTGGTCTGATCCAAATCATCCACATCGAGAATATGATATTCATAAAGTATAAACCCGAATTCAGATACTTTCATTACTCATTCTCTTCAATTTTTCTAAATACAATGGTAAATGAGTGATATATGTAATATTCTAAATTTCAATAGACATGATTTTTTTCTTTTGAAAAAATTCTTTAATAATGGTTAACACTCCATCAATAATAAAATGAATGAGGAAAAATATTGTTTATTAAAATACAAAATCTTACATATGTCACTTATCTAGTATTGAATTAAAGAAAATTGAAGAAAAAGAGTAATGGAGGAGATCTAAATCTGATAAACCCCTCTTGGTCTGGATTGAAAAAGAGCTTAAATCAAATGGATTATGTTATCTTAAGTTCTAAGATCTATTTAAAAATATTGATTCGATGGATCAGATTTACTCTCAAATTTCATTTTCCAACCCAAACCCATTTGCATTTAATTTCCCAAATTGACTCTATGCCTTATTTTGTGGGTGTCCTGTATTCCATTCCTAGTAGGAAACTAACTTAAACTTTATTTTCTTTAGTGATTTAGAAAGGTGGAAGTCTTAGGGGCTGTTTAATAACACTATTTAAGACTTAAAATTGAATACTTTAACCAATTAATAAATTAAATTCATTTGATAACCAAAATCTCATAATACTTAATATTTTAAGCACTTTTTGAAAAATGGCTAAAATTTTAAGTAATAAGCCACCTACTTATCACTTAATGCTAAAAATATTAATCAATAAATATTTTATTAATTTCTCGTAATAGACAAATATACCCTCACCACCATTATGTCATTATCACCACCACTAACACTATCACCACCACTACCATTATTGTATCACCACCACCACCACAACCATCGTTGTCACCACCACCATTGTTGCACCGGCACTACCATTGTCGCCACCACCACCACCACTTCTACCACCACCACCACCATCATCACCATCATTGTGTTGTTGTTACCACCACTACCATTATTTCACCGCCACCACTACCATTATTTTACCGCCACCACCACCATTATGGCACTAACACCACCACTATTGTCGCCTCAACTGCCACCACCACTACTATGGTGATACTGCTACCGCCACCATCACTACTACTGTCATTGCCATCACCATTACTACCATTGCCATCATTGTCGCGCACCACTGCCATTGTGTCAACGTCACCATCACCATCGCTATAGCAACCACTACCATTGTGCTATCGCCACCACGACCATCATCATTGTTGTCACCACCACCACCGTCGCCACCACCATTACCACCACCACTGTCGCCACCACCATTGTGTTGGTGGTGATCAAAATAATGCAGTTGTGGAGAGACAGTTAAAGAGTAAGACAAAATTAGAATAATAATAATTTTCAGACTTCAGCTCCTTATATTTTCAAACAGTTTGATTAATTTCAATACTTAAATTTCAATTGATACCAAATAATCTATGAATTAAAAAAATTAGCATTCAACATTTAAAATTCAACATTCAATTTTCAATGTCCAGCTTTCAGTTTTATCAAACACCACCTTAGAATTTCACTTCAAGTAAAAAACAAATTAGAAACCATATTGTATTAGGAAACAAAGTATTTTGGGTCCATAAATAAATTATAGACAGCTTAGTTTCATTTGGGTTTAGCCCTAGATTTTTGGGGATTTTGGCCCCTATTTTTGGCATCCATGTTTGGTTTTATTCTCTCAGTTAGAGAATTTTGTGTAATCTCCTTTTGTTGATAGTGAAACTTTGTCACTGCACTTCACTCGTGGATGTAAGCTTTTGAGTCGATCCAAGTAAATTTTTGTTTTGAATTATTTTTTTTATTTTGTTCAATTTGTTTGTTTGTGGCTTTTTTTCATAACAAACTGATAGCAAAGTTTACGGTTTCGAGATGACTAAAACAAAATTTAAAGTTGAAAAATTTTGTAATCAGAATAATTTCATTCTATAGCAGATTGAATTATACATCATTGTTTTGACGGAATAGTTTGACAAAAATTCTTGAGAAAATACTGTGATCAACACTGATAGAAATTCAATAGATTTGCTATTGTGTATATGTAAACCCCCACATGTTTATATTAATATAATAATATAATTGTTTAGTAATTCTAATATATGTAATGACATAAGAATGAACCACATAGATTATAACAGTATAAATAACTATTGGGAAGCAAAGTGATTGTGAAGTTTAAGTTGCGAAGGTATTTAAGCTTGGAAGAGGTTGTTAGGTAAGTTCAAAATATTTTTAGGTCAAAATAAGATTTCCATTGAATTTGGAAGGTCGAGAAACCTTGGGAGAAGTAATATGGGGTATATTAGAAGTGAGGAAGTATTTCGAAGTTAAAGCACACTTTGGAGAGAATTTGGATAAAAAGGATTTTGGACATTGCCTAGTGTTTTGATCATAAATTTTTATTCTGAAGTCCATTTGATCTGACATTTTGACAATGGATAGTAGACTTCTAGGTTACAAAAGTGTATTTTACGAAAATTTTTCAATTCGACCTCTAAATAGGCCAAAATTGCACTGAAAGTTGGAGCAAAAATCTGTCAATCAAACCGTACCGGTACGCAATACCAGTCCGCCCAACTCCAGAGGCTAAACAGTACCGGTACACAGTACCGGTACGCTTTATTTAAAGCTTGCCGAACAGTATAAAAATCAGGATTTTTATGCTTTAAAACACCATTCTAAGCCCCATTTTTCCCATTCTTTCATTCCACTCTCACTCCACACCTCTTAGAACCCTAGGAGAAGATAAAGAGAGAAAGAAAAGGGAGGAAGAAGGTCTTCAAAGCTTGCGCTTTTGATTTGAAATTCTTGATTACAAGGTAGGGGTTTCTTCTCATTCTCTTTCATTGAGGCTAGGGTTTACTTATATGTATGATTTTGACTCTAAATCTTATTTATTTGTTAGTAAATTATTGATTATTGATATTCTTGCAAACACTATCATGTTTTAAACAAATCTATGGTGGGATAACCCTGAAATCTCTTTTCTTGACTCAAAAACCTAGTTTTCAAGATAAATGGATTTTTCTCTTGATTTTTTCTTTATTCTTGATTTCAAAACTCTAGTGCTTTGTGTTGAGTAATAAAATGATGTTGTGATGATCTCTTGCTTATTTTCTTAAATTGCTCTCTTGTATTACAAATTGTGAGAATTGGGGATTTTAGAAATTATAAATTTTTATTGAGAAATTATTGGTGATTGTATTTCAGGGAGGTGTTTGGATGACCATGGGTGGCCGTTGACCGGATATCGTAGAGTGGGTAGATGTGGTGGTTCTTACTCCAGGCAGGTTTGAACTTTTTTTACCACTCGTAATGGGGTTAGTGCCTTGCGAGGACCAAATTACTATGAGCTTACAAGTGTCGTGTCAAAGGATTAGTATACTATGCCTGGGTTGGATTCGTTATTACCGGTGCATTGGTATGGGACAACGCATCGGTTGGCGCCCTTCCCAAAGTTTGATATCTTTGCGGGAATTTATGTGTGTGGGGGCCAGGATATTCTCGATGTTTTGATTCATGTGATTATCATACATCATGCTTGAGATACATATACATACTGTTGGAAAGGATCCAAGTTGGGGATTATTGTTATTGTTTGGACTTGGTTTCCTACAAGAGCTTGTGGAAGTATGAGATTCTACAAGAACTTGTGGAAAACGGATTATGGTTGGAAATGGTTTATTGCTGGGAAATTTATTTTACTGTTCATTTCATTATTGCTATTGGATGAACTTGAGATCTGTTTCAAATGTCCCTGTTTTCTTCAAAAATTTATATATGCTATTTGTGAAAGGTGACCGACTGTTTTTATATGTTTTTATAAACCTTGTTCGAGTTTGGAAGAAATATTACTACAAAACTGAGTGCTCACCCCCTACAAATTATATTTTTTAGATTGTGGTCTAGAGGAAGAACTCGGGATTGAGGAGCCAACACATTTGGAAGCTCCACTAGACGGGCTAGTGGATCTCGAGGTGGACATCTGGAGCTATAGTTTCTTTTTGTGCTAGGCTAGGGAATTTATTGACGATTATGTCTAGTCTAGTATTTTGTTACTCCGCTCCTAAGTTTAAATGTAATTCTTTTGAAACGTAATTGCCATAGCTTGACCTATTCTTTTGGGATGATATTGTAAATGATATATGTGATGAATGAAATGTTCTTAAATGATGGATTTATTTAGTTGCTTTCATGCTGTGAATGGTTTATAGATTGTAATGACGTGCAAGGTGAATTTTGGGGCGTTATAGATTTGATATCAAAGCTTAGACTTTAGGTCTTACATGAGAGCTGTAGATTATGGATTACCATTAAAGTGTAGGACTAGGTGGAATAGAATCGTTGATATAAATTCTACACACGTCTAATGCTTTAGATTAAAAGTATAGTCAGGAAGTCTTGTAAATCAATGAAACTAAATTGTGAATTGATGTGCATGATGGACGGTAGGCGTGGACGTGGACGTGATCGCGGAGGTCAAGCAAATCCACCACCACTACCACCTCCTGATGCTATGAACGACATTTATCAGTGCCTAAGGGAGCTAACCTCT